CATTAATCTACTTAACCTTACTCAACAACCTCCAGTTCAAGAGCAAGAGCCCCAACCAGTTCGCTCCAATGATCGTTAACATGCTCTTGCCCTCAATGAGTCTCAGGGTCGGTCTCATGTGGCCTTAGCTCAACAACCTCTACTTGATGATGTCACACAACGTCTAGACAGTTTAGAAAAAATGGTAGCCGAGCAACGATGTGCTCCACCTCTTCACCATAACACTACTTCAATACCTCATCCTCTAAACACCAACATAACATTGGAACCTTATCCAACTAGTTTCAAGATACCTCAACTCGAGACATATGATGGAACGAAGGACCCAAATGACCATCTGCATGCGTTTTACTTTTGTGTGCCGGCTCAGAATGCTTCTGATGCATTGATGTGTAAGATCTTTCCTTCTACTCTCTAAGGCAATGCTCAAACTTGGTATTACAGTCTACCTCCAAGATCTATTAGTTCTTATACAGAGATGGCATCTGCTTTTGCTACAAAAATTTTCAGTAAGAGGTTGATTAGGAAAACCACTTTTGAATTGATGCGAGTCATGTAGAGAGATGGAGAATCTCTGAAGAATTACATGAGTAGATTCAATGATGCAGTTCTGAAGGTTAGCTCATTTGATCAAGCTGAGGGAATTGCGGCTGTAATTCAAGTCTTAACCATGAAAGATTCAAGGATAGCTTAAGTAAGCATCCCGCTGCCACTTTTGACGAGGTTAATAATAGATCTTTGAAATTCATAACTGCTGAGGAATATGCCGTGTCACAGAAGCTAGTTCTTGCTAAGAACTAAAACTCGGCTTGGAGAGATGAGGGCCAGAGTAGAAAGTGGATGAAGACAATGCAGAATTGAGGTCCGATGTTGACCTCCACGCCAAGATTTGGAAGACTGAACTCAGTACCTTTCCAACAAATACCAATAAAGCACCAGTTACATAAACTCCTTTTAATCTGCCGAGGTCACAGATGTTCATGCAGATCAAGCATAAGATGGATTTGAGGCGACCAGGGCCAATGAAAAGTTCTGCTGCTACGTGTGACTATACTATATACTGTGATTTTCATCAAGACCATGGCCATACAACGGAGGAATGTAATAGTCTGAGGTTCGAATTGGAAAGTCTAGCTTAAAAGGAAATGCTGAATGAATAGATTTAGAGAATGAAGTAGCCGAGGTTTGTCAGAGAAGAGGGGCCACAGCCACAGGGATCTCGTAATGCAGGAAATAAGCAAGGAGTGAGATATTAACAAGCCCCACCTTCACTTCTGCTACCAGCCAGAATTATACACATGATTATGGGAGGATTGGAAGCAAGGGGTTTGAGCTCCAAGCAGAGGAAGTTATATGTCAGGGAGGTGAAGCATCAAAACAGAGTTCAGAAAAGAAAGTTCGATGATACTAACTGGAAGAATCAACCCATCACTTTCACACCTGTTGACTTTGATACAGTTGTAACACCTCATAATAATCCTTTGGTCACTTTTGTTATGATTAATAATTGTGAGGTACAATGTGTCCTTGTTGACATAGGGAGTGCACCAGACATTATGTATTATCACTATTTTGAGAGCCTAGGACTAGATTCAGCTTTGTTGTAAAGGTATGATGATCCTATATATGGATTTAATAACCAATCTATTCAGATAGAAGGAGTCCTTACTCTCAACGTTGCTTTTGGGAGCGGTTGAACTTACGTTACCCCCTCAGTTCGGTTTCTAGTCATTAAAATGGCCTCATCCTTCATTGCTGTTATTAGACGACCTACATTAATTAAGATCTGAGTTGTGGTCTCTCAATCTCACCTCTGTATGAAGTTCCCAACCCTTATGGGGGTAGCAACATTACGAGGCAACCAGGAGGTGGCTAGACATTGCTATATTACCTCGGTTACAAAGCCTCAGAAAGGAAAAGATCAGACATCAAAAACCATTTCAAAGGAAGTTCATGATAACCGGCAAGTCATGGGGGTCGAGGTACTTGATAACAGACTTGAAGATGAAACCCGAGCTGCTCTAGTTGGAGATGTTGAGGAAGTATAGATTGATGACAGAGGTCCAAATAGAAAGACATAGATCAGAATTCGGTTGAACCCAGGGGAAAGAGCAGAGCTAATAGCTTTCCTCCGAGCTAACAAGGATGTTTTTGCTTGGATCTCAGCAGATATGCCAGGGATCCCAACCTTGATATCTCAACACAAGCTCAACACTAATCCATTGAAGAAACCGGTAGCTTAGAAGCGGTGCCTTTTCCGGGGAGAGAAGCTTCAGGTGATAAAAGAAGAGGTGGAAAAACTCTTGCAAGCTGGTTTTATCAGAAGGGTTGATTATTGTGAGTGGGTAGCCAATCCAGTACTGGTCAAGAAAGCAAATGGCCAGTGGCAAATGTGCATCGATTGCACAAATTTCAACCAGACTTGTCCCAAAGATTGTTATTTGATGTGGAACATTAACAAACTAGTTGAGGCAGCTTCTGGAAATGAGAGATTAAGTCTCTTAGATGCATATTCTGGTTATCACCAAGTCTCGATGGCTTATGAGGATGAAGAGAAGACCTCATTCTACGCAGGTGATGAAATTTATTGTTATGTCATGATGCCCTTTGACTTAAAGAATACTGGTGTCACTTACCAGAAATGGTAACCATCATATTCCGAGCTCAAATAGGTAGGAATCTAGAAGTTTATGTCGATGACATCATGGTGAAGAGCCTGAAAGTCGAAGATCATTTAGCTGATCTTGATGAGACATTCAACAACCTAAGAAAGAACAGAATGCGGTTGAACCATGTGAAATGAATCATTGGTGTGGAGTCTAGAAAATTTCTAGGCTTCATGGTATTCAAGAGGGGGATTGAGGTTAACCTAGAAAAGATCAAAGCAGTAGCCGAGATGGAATCGTCGAGGTTAGTAAAAGATGTACAGAGATTAACAGGGAGAGTGACAGCTTTTCACAGGTTCATATCGAAGTCAGCAGATAAATGTTTGCCACTCTTCAAGATCATGACATCAGCAACTCAGAAAGATGAATCCAGCAAGCAGAAGAAGTTTGAATGGAATCCAGAATGCCAAGCTAAATTCGATGAGCTGAAGTCTTATCTTAACTCACCCCATTTGTTGACAAAAGTTATTGATGGAGAGATCCTTTATTTGTACCTCGGTATCTCAGACGAAGCAATCAGTTTTGTGCTAGTACGGGAAGAAGGGAAGCAGCAAAAACTAGTTTATTATACCAGCAGTGTATTACATGGAGCAGAGATAAGGTATTTCATTGTTGAGAAAGCAGCATTAGCAGTTGTCACTTGGGCCAGGAAACTAAGACCATATTTCCAGTCACACCCGATTATAGTCCTTACAGACCAAACTCTTCGGCAGATTCTACAGAAGCCAGAATGCTCAAAAAGATTGATCAAATGGGCTATGGAACTGAGGGAATTCGAGATAACATTTCAAAAGAGGTCAGCAATTCAAGCTCAAGCACTAGCAGATTTTATTATGGAATGCACCTTGGATCACTCAAATTCTAACCTCGAGCCGGACAGCTGGATTCTATATGTTGATGGAGCATCAAGTAGTAAAGGCTCCGAAACTGGTGCAATCCTAATTGGCCCAGATGGATATCAACGTGAGCATGCTTTCAAATTCAATTTTGATGCAACTAATAATATGACTGAATATGAAGCTCTGCTACTTGGCTTGCAACTGGCATTAGAGTTGAAAGTCACGACAATACAAGTATACAGTGACTCACAGCTTGTGGTTAATCAAGTCAACTCAGTTTGTGAGGTAGTTGATTCTGCCATGATGAAGTATGTAGCCCTGGTAGCTGAGCTAAGGTGTAAATTCCAGAAATTTTGTTTGAGCAAAATACCCCGAACTAAAAATGAACAAGCAAATTCACTTTCTAAGTTTGCCTCCGATAGTTCTCAAAGCTCCAAATTAGTTTTCATTGAAGTTTTAGATGAGCCGAGCTTCCTAAAACCAAAAATGATAGTGCTCAGCATAGATCCGAATATACTGAGTTGGACAGATCCAATTGTCTCTTTCTTATGAGATGGGTCAGTGCCTGGAGATAAGCAAGAAGAGATGAGGTTGAGGAAGAAAACATCTTGATACACACTTGTTGATGGAGTGCTTTATAAGAGATCTTTCTCACTCCCTCTCCTTAGATGCTTGAATCTTTATGAAGCTGAATATGCACTTCGGGAGGTACATGAAGGCGTATGTGGAAGTCATGTTGGCGCTAGAACCCTAGCTCATAAAGTCCTCAGACAAGAATATTACTGGTCGAATATGTATAAGAATGCCACTCACTTTGTACAGAGGTGCTTGAAGTGCTAATTCTTTGCACACATAACTCACCAACCAGAAGAAGAGCTCACCAACTTGGTGGCACTGTGGCCATTTACTCAGTAGGGACTTGATCTTTTAGGCCCATTTATGAAAGGGGTTGGAGGTGTAACCTATCTAGTTGTTGGTGTTGATTATTTTACGAAATGGGTTGAAGTTCGGCCATTATCCAGCCTTACCTCCAAAAGGGTCAAAGACTTTGTTTTCAGCTCAATCATTCGCAAATATGGGATCCCGAATCAGATTGTGGCTAACAATGACACTTAATTTAACTGCTCTTCATTTAGAGATTTCTGCTTCAGTTACGGGATCAAATTACAGTTTACTTCGGTATACCATCCGAAGTCCAATGGTATCGTGGAATCTGTCAACAAAACTATCCTAGAGGGAATTAAGCCGAGGTTGGAGCAGCACAAAACCATGTGAGCAGATGAGCTCAACAACGTCCTTTGGGCATATAGAACCACGAGCCGAACTACCACAAGTACCATTTCCAACCTAAGTTACTTGCATACTACTTTCTTTCTTCTTCTATGGCTTTAACCTAGATCAAATATGCATAACATATAAAGTATGTTCTAAAAACTATAATTTAATGAAATAGGTGAAACACCATATCACCTGGCCTTTGGTACCAAAACAGTCATTCCTATTGAAATAGGAGTCCCCAGGTTTAGGGTCACCTATTTCGATGAAAGACGAAATGGACAATTGCTTCGAGAGACCCTTGACCTGCTTGATGAAGTCCGAGGGGAAGCATGACTTCGAACTTTGGTGTATAAGCAGAAATTAGCCAACTTCTACAACAAACAAGTTCACCCCCAAACATTCAAAGTTGGCGATCTAGTTCTGAGAAAAGCCAACCTAACTAGGTGTGAAACTCATTTTGGCAAACTAGCATCGAACTGGAAAGGCCCTTACATAGTGGCTGAAGTGCCACATTCCGATGCCTATATCCTTCAAGAAGCTAAAGGGAAAAGAGTTCCTAGAGTCTGGAATGTCAACAACTTGAAGAAGTTTTATCCTTAATCCACTTCTTTCAGTAAACTTTGTCTTATTGCCCTTTATGACTATTACTTCCTCTTCTTGAGATTAATTTCATTCATTTGAACTTTCTTCCAAGATCAATTTGTAATTCACTTTATTCCTAGATTTCAATTCTATTAATGAATTTCACTTCACATTCGAAGTGATTTCCTTCATCTTAGTTCTTACGTTAATGCAACCCAAAACAAATGTTAAAACCAACTTCAAACAAATCCATAAATTGATTAAAAAATATTACAAAAATGTTCAAAATAAATCAACAAATTGCTCCAATTTTAACACAAAACACAAATCAAAAAATGGAAACCCTGGCTACTTTACCAGGGAGGTGGCTGTTACTCTATAGGAAGAGGTGGCTGCTCCACTTTTGGAAAGGCTGGCTGCTCTTCTTCTGAGGGAACTGGATGGATCTCCACTGAAGGAGGTGGCTGGCTCTCCTTAACTTTAGTACCTTTTGCCTCTGCTTCCCTTCCTCCATGTCACGAACTCGAAGTCAAAATTAGGAGGAAAATCGGTGCGTCCTTCTTCATCATGATCCCACCTCAGCTTAATCTGAGATAAAAAATCAGCTGACATGCTTTCACCGTTCTCCTCCACTACTTCCTCTTGTTCGCCAAAGGTGATCTTTATTACATCCACTTCGGGATATTGAGTTTTCACCTTCTTTCTATAATCAGTGAAGGCAAGGATCATGATAGGCAGCCGGTAGAGGTTGACAATATTGTCAAATGAACTGGAGTTGAGGAAATTAGCAATGTGCTCTTCCATCCCGTTATGCACCAGCAGCTTCACATTCTTCTTGAGCTTTACTTCAGATTCTTTCATTTTCTTTATTTCTTCCTCTTGTGCTTCAATTTCTTCCTCGCACATTTTCCTCTTCCTTTCTTTGAATGAAAGAATCGTCTTCAACGAGTCTCTCTGTCAACGCTTCCTCCCTTGCTCGACGATGATCCACTTTAGAAACATATTAGTTTATAAAATTCTTCACTGTCAACATATTCTTGTTCACAAAAGTGCTGCTCTAGAGGGAAGGAGTAGGAACAAGAGCTTTACCCTTGCCATGGGCTGTAACCCCAATCTCTTTGAGCTCGGGATCAAGCTTAACAAGAAGTGGCCGAGGTACAAACTCCACTACCTCGTCCCCCCTAATCTCCTCCTCTGCCACTTTCTTCTTCTTCTTCTTCTAAGCTGGATCCACTTCTTCACTTCTTTTTTGTTGGGGACCCAGCCTCGGCTCATCAACATCCACAGCTTGGACTGATGTAATTGATATCTGCTCTTTCTCCTTGTTCCCATCTCCTTTTCCATTTGCAGTAGTCTCAGAAGTCTTTGACTTCTTCCTCAACTTCTTAGGAACGGCTATCCTTTTAGTAGAACTTAAAAATTTATCCATCTCAACTGCAAAATAACAAACATGTTAAAAACGTAAGTCAGAAACTAACACTAAATCATGCAAAACAAAACACAAACACACCTTCACTCAATGAGCTTGGCCCATAGAGCTCAGCAGCCTCTATGACATCCGAGCTGGTGAAGTACATGATATTCAAGATTTCACCTCCCTCCCTCACCAACTTCTCCATCTTTTCCTCCTCATCACTATTTAAGCTATACTTATTTTGGTTGGCTTTCTTAGCCTTCTAGCTAAACAAAAATTCTACCTCTTCATCCCTCATTTTCCACTTTGTATCATCAATAAAGAAAAAATTTTCCTTCCATACCTTAATGGATGAAGGTCCTGCATTAAATAAGTTCCTTCTTTCTTTGTTAAACGCTCGAGGTGTGAAGTAATATCATCCCTTCTCCTTCTTACTCCTAACCTTGAGTACAAAAAAATGGTTAAACATATTCATAGTGGGCACCCTGACACCCCTAGCTCGGTAGGACACCACAAACCCAATTATCACCCTTACTGCATTAGGAACCAATTGGGTCAAACCTATGTTATACTCCAATAGTAACTAAACCAACGACTCTGGAATTGGAAACCTAAGCCCTACTGCTAAATAATGAGCATACATAGGCATCCAATGGTCTCAGGATGCTGAGCAAGCCCTTTCCTTCACCCCAACAAGCCTAATCAAAACTTGATGTGGGAGGTCATAAGTTTCAATTAGGTAACTAAGGCTATCCTTAGTAACCAGTTCACTCTCATACCCTTTCACTTCAGAGACAATGTTTGCCTCTACATCATAACACCTATCACCCCCACCCTCAATTTCCAAAATATTCGAGGGTATTTCTTCTCCCTCACCCTCAACCATTTCCCTAACACCCACCTCGTCCTTAGTTCTATCTGACCTGGATAGCCCACTCTCCATGCCCCCATCACCATACTCCAACGCCCTCACTTCCTCGCTCCCCCCAACGCTCAATGTTTCCTCAGAAGACATCTCTTCAGTTTTGTAACTTTCACTGCACGGAGTAGGGGGGGAATGAAGTCAAGATCTTTAAAACACTTTAACTCATGCTCAATTTCACTCTCACTCCTAACCCTAACCTCCTTAAGAAGACTTAAGTCTAAATCAGAAAGGGTGAGAGGAGAATAAAACTCGTCACTAGTATCAGAATCACCAAAGTTCATAAGTTGCTTGATTTCGGTAGTGCAGAACAAGTTTCGAAGTAAAAAACGTAATGCAGAAATCAGTTGCACAAGCACAGTGAAAATTTTGGCAACACTTCGGTAGCAAATACGGCAAAAGTAAAACCCTTTCTATAGAAGTATAGCTATATATACCAAAGCAAATATATGCCTCAACGGTTGTGATTAATTTTATCTAACGGTCACAATTACACTGTTTCGAATTCAACGGTTTATCCCTAATGGAACCCTCTCAAATTCGACGGTTCTTTTTCGATTGCGTCTATTTAACTATAGTAGTTACTTTTTACAGCTCGTATTTATTGTACACGTCTTTCAAAAGACAGCTATCGTATCAGATACTAACTTTGTGTCAGGCTTTTCAGACGGGCCTAATTAAGCCCAACCCAAATACTTTTGTTTACATTCACATAAATGTCTTTTTATTACAAGTATTTAATCTCTAGTGACCCCGAGTCACATTTTATCTCGGCTCCGGCCATAGTGATCCCGAGTCACTTATTTTACTTCGGCTCTGGTCATAGTGACCTCGAGTCACCTATTTTACTTTGGTTTCGGCCATAGTGACTTCGAGTCACTTATTTTACTTCGACTCCGACCATAATGACCCCAAGTCACCTATTGTACTTTGGCTCTAGCCATAGTGACCTTGAGTCACTCATTTTACTTTAGATCTAGCATACTCCCTTCATTATTTGGTCTTGTGATATTTCATCACATTTTATCATGTATTCCCCAATAAAATATACACTTCCCTTACCACTTCTAACTATATCAAATACAAGTGAATGACTTTGAGGGGGGAATAGTGTAAGGATAAGCCCGGGGTTTTTAATCTTGGACGTACTGCTACGTTTTATTAATAATTGAAGTGAAGGTTAAATCCAGCACTTCCTGGTCAAACAGCTGTATGATAGGTACAATAAGCGTGTTCGCACCTGATTTCCCATTCCTGATATCATCGCCTGAAGGGACACGTCAGACTCTGATTATCTCGTTAAATAAGCCACGTGAACACCTCATTAAGGCCTATAAATACCCCCAGGGGCCACCTCAGAAAGGTGATTGAAATTGACCTAAAGCTCCTTTTTTCATTATACTAAAGGTAGATCTGATTATTGCTGATTTAAGCATTGGAGTGTCTACCCTGAGGATCCACCTCAGGGCTTTGCAGGTTTATCTAAAGTGAAGACATGGACTAGAGAAGGACTTTTGGTTTGGTGCAATTACAAGTACATGTCCCAGTCTAGCCATTACATCAGCTGCCATGTTTGATTGACGGTAAATATGGTTGATATCAACATGGGGAAGCTTCTGTATCAATTCCTTGTAGTCCAAAACAAGAGAGGAAAGAGAATGTTTAGGAGAGAAAGCACCAAATATGAATTGAGCGGCAATGCTATAGTCAGTCTCAATTTTCAGGTGAGTAAAATTGTTAGCCACAGCAAACCGTAACCCATCTCTAAGAGCCCATAGTTCTACAGCTAAACTGTTGGTATACCATCAGTGTATACAGAACATTAAACATATTGTTGCGCAAAAGGGTGATTCTATACTAGCAAGAAGACACATCCTCTGAACCATACCAAACGATGACGTAGCTTGCCCTGTGTCGCTGCCTCATCAGCCTCCAAGGTTCAAACAAGAGCTTTTCCAAGAGAGAGGATGCTTAGATCGAAATATAAAGTTTAAGATCTCGAATTCACCTTTACCATCAAAAATGAGAAAGTCCAATTTCCCTAAGAATATAAAAAGAAATAAAAAACTCAAGGAATAAAATACATTTGAGGGGTTTTTATTAGCAGAAATAGATTGGGTTTATGCCCAGTGTAATTCCTCTATTATTAGAAAAAATTCAATTTAAACTCTATTATCAATTTACTTTATGTCCTCCTCAACTATTATTTAACTGTACATATCCTCTCTTAACTGATAAAAAAAAAA